CAGCAATAGTGGAACTGTTTTAGGATAGTCAAAGCAGTCTCTAAAGGGCTGTTTTTTGCTTTCCTATAATCTAATGAAATGCAAAGCCAAGCTGTCAAAAATGAATGTCAGTTTGAAAAACTAATGAGCTATAATTTAACAGGATTTCTATCTCACTGTTAATAATCTCTTATTAACTAAAGCAATATTGACAAGATAAAGCAATTTTGACTGAATACATATTTTCCTGGTCTTTGTCATATTTGTATTACTAATTGACCTGTCCACATTGATGATATAATCTAGAGTTTTCCAGACACTTTTGCATCTGCCAACCTACTACTCTCTCATTAGGGAATGACAAAGGTAAGGCCAGCAATCACATACTTAATTTTAATGACCTCCAGTCTGACATAGTTCCAGAAGATCTACCCAAAAATCACTCCTCTGGGCATGTTCAACATCCTACTCAGCTGAGTAAGATGCTTGCCAAATTACTAGACTGTTTCCATGCTTATTAATTTGATGTTTTCTCTGCTCTAATTCTTAGAATAGTTAGGCCTATAACTACTTGTTATTCATGTATTGAGTTTTATGCAGCTGTATAGAAAGTAAGAAGCAGACAAACACGTAAAACAGCCAAGCTAGCACCTTACCAGTGTTCTTCATATTTCCTGGGATGTGGACATGTTGAAATAATCAAGTTACAACTGGGATTTGTTTCACTATGTCTCTTGAGCCTGGATGTCTGATAAGGTTCAATAATCAGAGATTGGAAGACACCCACAATTTGCTCTTCTTGCAAGACCCATCAGGAAAACAGTTATACTGCTTGACATGTTATTTATGTATGATCAGGAAGAATTTAAATATTAAGCGTTTTTCTCCCTTGCTAACAGCTATTTAGAGCAATTTACATGAATGTAAACAAACTCAGAGGGATTGTACTCAGTGGATTAATTAAAAGGACAAAGTATCTTTCAGAAAAGCAGAATAAAATGATTCATTTAGAGACAGTGAGATATCCATTATTTTGCCTATAATCCAAAAATGAGAGTTAATTCAACACTTGTATGTAAATAGTTTATTTAAAACATCTGTTAAATTAGTACCTATTAGATACTAGTAACTTGAAACCAGAACCATTCCACTTCTCAGGAAAGATAAGTTATGCAATTACTCTGGTGCATTCATTTACAACTGATCAGCATATCATAATGTTAAAAATGCTTTCTGGACAGTAATGGGGGGGAGGATTGGAGAGAGAGAAAGCTACCAAGCAAGCATGAGAGAGGCAGACTGACAGCTTTGTAGCTCTTACAGAAAAGCCATGGGAATTTTAAAAATGAACTATGATTTCAAAAGCAGCAAAAGAGTGGCACAATCGAGAGTTCAGCTCTTCAAATCATCAAGGTCATCTTTGTACCTCCCTTGGATTAGATCACTGTACAGGTATATGATGCGTTGGGACAAATTTAGCGTAACAATTTTGGGGAAGGGTAAATTAGATTCAGACTTTATGATGTCATTGAATTCTGATCCTTAGATTTCACAGTCTGTTGAACAGCCATCTTTGCAAGCCTATTGCTATCATTCAAAAGTGATTGACTTAACTCACGTGGATCTGAGCAAGAGAGATACCAATGCACTGGGTCAAATCTATGAGAAATATGGAGGACGTTGTACCTTTAAAAGCAGCACTTTGGCTTGGATTACTGACATTCTGGCTCATAATGAAGTGATTAACACAAAGTTCAGACATGTGAAGATTACAAAACCAAACTATGCACCTAAGACAACTATGTGAAGAGCAAACATTTTTGAAATGCATTCTATAAGATCATATTACTAAAATACATTTCCCAGGAAAAGTTGTACTTTGACCAGGATTTTTTCTTTACGCACAAAAGCTACAAAGTTTCTACAGATACATAAACCATTCCACTTTCTAATTCAGGATGCTGACAAACCATTAACCTCTCCTAATAAAAGCAGGTTATTTGGGGAAATCCAAAATGGAGAATAAAGTCATAAAGTGGACTAATTTTGATGTTTAGACGGAGAATATTTTTTTCCATAGCAAGTTCTTTTGAAATATCTTAAAGAAAACCAAGAAGCAACACTACAGACATTTTTGAATGCTTATCAATTACTGACTGTTCTTTAGGTAATCTCACACTTGTCTGATTTTCATTACCTATTTAAAATTCACTGAACCACAAATCCATTCCAAGCAATATTAGAATTTAGCTTAGGGTTCCTGTGACTTTGAAAACCCATTGATCCAGATATGCTCCCAAGTAACTGCATGTCAAGTTTTTATAGCTGGGTTAATTCACTTTATAGTTTTCTTAATGTACAAGGTTTTATGTTTTATTACATATCTATTATTTTCAGCATGGAGCGATGAATTAAATGCATATGTAGTTTAAAACAGGTCCAAGGTGCCAGCTGGGACTAATTTTAGAGCACTTTAAAAATTATTATCCCAAACCTTTTGTAATTTAAAACTTGAAATGAACATAACAGAAGCCACTCACTTTAGAAAAGATGAAAATCTGTGCAAGCAGCAATTCTAAGGTGATTCCATTTGCCTTATTACTCTAGATGGACAAATAATAATACTGAAAATTAGCATGCTATTTCAGGATATGTCGAGTGACTCAGAACCCACTTCTCCCACTCTTACTTATGATGAGCATAAAACTTTATTCCACAAGTAATCATTGGGACCATTCATGGAGCAAGGTACTATGTTTAATGGGAGTAAAAGGGGGCAGTATTGAGCTTTTACTTTGCAGTTCTGTAGTTTGTAAAGAGGAATAAGAGGCAGAAGCACACACTGAAATACTTTTTATCTTACAAATGTTAAATTGACAAGGTCAGAATCCTGTTGGAAATGCCACTAATTTCAGTAGCGTTACCTACAGGCTTAAAGTTGTGCATATGTAAGGGGACTGTTGCCCCCTTACTAACATTCAGTGGGGGTGTTTTGATTGGCTTGCTCCAAGTACTAAAAGGGGAAGGGTCGATGGCAAATCAGGAGCCTGAGACTGACAGTCCCCAGGAACAATGGGGAGAGGCCAATGTTCCAGATCCGCCTGATTGACAGGGCGGGCAGGCTAATCAGAGGGTCAGGAGGCCAGGGAGGTCCCGTCCTCCGTGTGAGCTTTAATGGCCTGAGTCAGACTGAGTGGGGCCGAGCTAAGGAGAAAGCAGGGGCCCAGGCTGAGCTGGAGAGCAGAACCGTGCCAGATCCAGAGGGGCCAGAGACGCAGCCCAGGGAGAGCAGATCGTGTGCTGGGAGCAGAG